CTGTCCTTTGGGACTCTTGTTCAGAATCACATACGTGTACCTGCATAGAATTTACACAGTTGTTTCTTTATTTCTTCCACTCTCCACAGCATGATTATTTATTACATTTTATAAATATGGTTTTATAGACTAGTTTATAATAACATTCAATTCTAGGAGTATAAACTAATCTATATTTCCCTAATATTTTTACTGTTTCCCTTAGGTAACTTTATAAAATATAAAAAAATTGATAGAGGATATTTAAGGGACAATTAGACTTTTGTTTGTTTACTATATAAAAGACAAGAGAAAATACCTTGTGAATTGAGACTTGCTTTTGACCTGGTCAGCTAGAAGGTATAGCCTTTTCTGAGGGATGAAAATATCACTTTTTATAGGGACGAATATGGTACTTCCTAAATTCCAAATAAGTGACAAGTTAGAATTTTGACTTGGGTTATAGTAGTGGCCCAGTGGACATGATCCTTATTCTCATGGAGTCTGCACTATGAGAGGGCTCTTAGCAGTTGTAACTGTGATGTACAATACGCACACAGAAATAGAACTATCAAGAAGAACAGCATTTCATGGGTAGGGACCAGTATATTTAGTCTCTGGCCTCATGAATAAAGTACAAAAGTGGCAAAGGAGACCAGAGAGAAGACTGGACTTCCTGGAACAGAGAGAGAGGGAAGAGAATTGGTGTGACAGGTGTGACATCATCCTGGGAGTACAAGAAAAGGTCTCATTGTGACAGGCCATGTGGGGGGAAGAATTTTGTACTTTATTCACTGATAAAATAATGCTCAAGGTAAGAATCTGTTGATTTTGGTGCTTGTTTGGAGAGGATACCATTGGCCTTCACAAAGCCAGAGACTACTGTACCCTTGGCACATGATTTGTACAGAGAGAGAGAGCTGTACAATGCCAGGTCTTGGGAGGGAGCTTGCAAGTAGAATTAACAAGACTTGGTAACTGATGGGAATGTAGGGAAGAGAGTGAAGTGCTGTAACTCTATTTGGTTTCAAGCTTGAATAACTGAGTCCCTTGAACAGTAGGAAACAAATACAGGTGTGAACTGCTGTGATTCACTGTGGATGCATTAGCTTGAGATCCTAGAGAGAGATGTCACATGGCTACCTGGATAGATAACTTTAGGAATAGGAAGAATGTTTGCGACTAAGTGTAGACTTGGATTCATCTCCATGTAGATGATACTCAGAGCTACAGAAAAGGGAGAGTTTTCTGAAGGCTAATATGCAGACTGAGAAGAGAGCAGGTGACAGAGGCTAGGGAGAGCCAGGGTTGAAGGGAGGTTGCATAAACAAGTGAGGTTATAGGACAGACTGGAAGGAGTGTCCAGGGAGGTAGGAGGGTCACTGGGCCAGCCTTCAGGTCTTGGTTTCAGCTAGTTAGATATGAGAAACTTCTGGCAGGTTATTTAAGTTCTGAATTTGTCTTCTCAACCATAGAAATGCTTTTATGATAATCCCTGCAATTTTGTCTGAGAATTATGTGAAATGATGATTATAAAACAAATAAGTGCTATACACAATCTTATTTGTGGGATATATTAAAATTCTAGCTCTCAATAATAATGGATCAAATAACTGGATCATCTCTTTCAGACTAAAGCTGCTCCTTGAGGTTAGAGACTATATCTTACTCATTGCACAGAAAAGATAAAAATAATGCAATGGCTTTCTCTTGGGAGTCATCAAATGGCTCTACAGATAATTCCAGACATTGAGGAAGAGCAGCGGTGTTTTCATAATGAGAAGCCCCAACAATTATCTTCATTCAAAAATACTTCAGTAGGGGAACTTATAAATGTAATTAAAAAATGCATTATAGGGGCTGAAGATGTAGCTCTGTGGTAGAGCCCTTGCCTAGAATGCACAAGACCCTGGGTTTGATCCACAGCAACAAACCCGCCTGGCCCCGCACATATGGGTAAAGATTATTAAATCTATTAAAGACAGCATCAATCTGAGAGCAAATGCTTTCAGCAAATTCATGAGGCCTTGAGGAAAAAGCACTGAGATAATTATGCTCCCTTGCTTTATAGCCATGTGTTCACTACATGCTGAATAATCTGTGTCTTTTCAAAGGATTGGGAGATCCTGCTTGCTTTTATGTGGGTGTGATTTTTATCTTAAATGGACTCATGATGGGATTGTTCTTCATCTACTCTACATACTTGAGATAAGACACTGAATTAAAGGATCTGACTGATCTTATAAGGATCAGATGATAATTGTTATTACATGATAAGGAGAATTAGTGAGACTAATTGGTTAATAGTAGGAATATTTGTAGATTTATTTGAATTTTCAGGTGCTTACCCAATGTCATACAACCAAAAAACTGGGACTGTCACTGAAGGGAATACCTTAAATAAGGCCTCCCCTTTATCCCTGTGGCAATGTTTTTGTAGTTATGATTTTTCAGCCAAGGTTTTAATAAAAGTACTTCTCTTCCTCTGTAATTTATTACAACATTAGAGGGATCTCTGGTTAGAATTAATTAATTTATCCTCATTTTATTCTCTGTAAATGTTAGATTAAGAAAACTATAAGAAGAACTGTAAATCATTTGCAGCAGACACTTAAATTTGTTAGCACATCTTTTTTGACAACATTACCACAACTTTGTTTGGAGGAGCAGTGTGACCAGTCTCAGATGATAAGTTGAAGTTAATTGTTATAGTCATGTGCTTTCCTCCCAGGCTCTATTGCTCCTTGACAGATCCCGAGGATCTAGGTTTTGCCCGTGATAAATAAAGGACCTTGTGAAAGGATATATTCAGCTGTCCCTTCTCTATTCCTTCATGCTTTTATGTGGAAACCATGCCTGGAGCCACAGCAGTCATCTTGTGGCCATGAGGGAAAGTCCATAAAAATAGCAGACATATCTGGCTTAACATACTGATGTTGCTGAACCAATACCAATAGATATTTACCACTTCTCTTTTTTGTTCAGTGATATAATCCACACTCATACTGTTTAAGCCACTTTTGTCAGACTTCTTTGTTTCTTTCAGTGAAATATATTCCTAAGTAAGTCATCAACTTTCTTTACAGTGTTATTCATGAAATTTAAAAAGCATTTAAAGTTAGAAATCTAGATTTAATCATCCAACAAATATTTATTAAATTTTCATAGGGCTTATGTCAATACAGATTAATATTTATATGCACTCTTTGTTTTAAGTTTTTGGCATAGAAGGACTTGCATAGAATCAGTGAAAATTAGTGACATATTTAATATTGTATCAGGGATCCTGTCCAACACAGTGGGCTAAAAAAGTATAAGGTTTGGAAAATGTGACAAGTAAATTTTTTCGAAAAGTAGTTCATATTATATATGTGTAAAAAATCAAGAATAAAGTATTTGAAGCATTTAGAAAATTTATGATGTTACCTGAACACAAAAATCAATACACAAAATTATAAATTCTATATTCTAACATCAAACAAAAAGTGAAATTTTAAAAAGATGCTACTTAGGTTAGCATTAAAATCATGAAGTTTCTAAGAATAAATCTAACAAAAATATGTATAACCTTTATGGAAAAACTGTTAAAAATTGGTTGAGATGCATTTAAGAAAATGGAAATAAATGAAGAGATATACCATGTTAATGGGTTGGAAGATGAAAATTATCCCAAATTGATTTCCAGATTCAATGTTCTACCAATCAACATACTGTCATAATTTTCGTGACCCCTAATAGCTGATTTTAAAGTTACTCAGAAATGCAAAAGGCCAAATTTAGTTAGAACATTTTTTTAAAAGGTACAACTTGCTTTATCAATTATTGCTGTATCATAATGCTAATGTAAATAAGACAGCATGCTAGACAGATAGATAACAGGAATGGGGTAGAGGCCAAACACAGAAATGTAAATTTAAGGACACTTGGTCTGTGATAGAGCAGATATTGCAGTCTACCAGAGTGCATAAGGATAAGCTTTTCATAAATATTAATGTATATTGACGGTTATATTGATGATCTTAGAATCAGTATTAACAGCTGTCTTAGGAGTGTCCAGTGGGGACTCAGGGTGTAATGATTTACAAACTCAAAGACCCAAGTTCTATCCCTGGTACCAAAAAAAAGCTGTGTGTACATGTATTTCCTGGCTCTGCTGCTGAAAGGGCTCTGATGCGGTTAACCCTGCCTGTATCCCCCATGGCATTCCTAGTGTTCATATACTGGTTTCCAAATACCACTGTCCAGTGAAAGGGAGCCGAGCTGTATGGCAAAGTGATTGATTCTAGGGCCGAGACAGGAAAGATGCACAGTAAATCTGATTCCAGACAGTAAGAAATTACCAGAAGAGGCTTTCCATAGCTCTGTCATTCCAAAGAATTCTGATAAAGCAGGATGGAGGAAAATTGGAAATCACTTGTCAAATAACAACTGTGGGCAAGACCCATCCATGGCGACAAAAATTGGGATGGGGTGAGGATAAGCAAGCTATTCATCCTCAAAGAACAGAGTGTCTTCCTCAGTATACTTAATTATAAAAAGAACAATAGTGACCCACTGAGAAGAAATTTGGCAGACAATATGTGAGCACAATTAACCTCCCCAGTAATGAGACATAGCACATCAACAGCACACACCTCTGTCCTGACTCTCTGAGGAAAGAGCATCACCACCTGCTAGCTGGGCAGCAGCATTATCCCAGAGTAGCCAAACCTGTCAGGAGCCCTCCTGAGCCTCTGACTTTCCTAATTATGGGAGCCACGTACTAGACAAATCCTCTTTAAAATGCCTGTAGTTTACTCAACACCACCAATAGCTTGTTTTGAAATCACTTAGATTAACCTGTGCTTCTTTAAAATGAACTTCAAAGCATTAAGAAGCTTGGCATTTTACTTAATCCCTCCAGAAAAGTTTAACACCTGAGTAGTGTTACTTCCTCAGCACGTGGTGTTCTTTTCGTTTGTTATCTGACAGCCCCAATAAGCACTTACTGACCAGGTACTTAACAATCTTTCTTCAAGATGATGACTTCAGGAGGTGGCGGTTTCTGTGACTGTGGCGACACCAAAGCATGGAAAGAGGGTCCTTACTGTCAAAAACATGAACTTAACACCTCTGAAATTTAAGAAGAGGAGGTAAAAGCATTTTCACAAAGTTGAAATAGTAGAAGGAAAAGCTGTTTTGACGATGAGTTTTAAGTATTTTAAGAAACTGAAATTCTATTATGTGTGAAGTGGTTAAGCACACAGTCCTATTAATAGTAACTAAGTACTGGGCTGGGGATTTAGCTCAGTGGTTCCGGTGCCTACCGCTCGAGCACAAGGTCTCAAGTTCGATCCCTGGTACCAAAAAACCCCAGTAACTAAAGTACTTTGAAAGTTCTTTGTGTTCTGTGGCTGCTATACCGTTGTGAGTGGTATGCATTTGAAATTCTAAAAATTTAATTCAAAAAGTTTTCTTGGTTGGGATTTTAAGCATTTTTGAAGGCTTTTATTAAGTCCTAATTTACTACTGAAAAGATTTTTTTCAATTATTAGTTTTTGCATATTTGTGTTGTAAATAAGACTTTGTAAGCCAAGATAACTTTCTTTTTTATTACTCTGCATGACACCAGCCCTAATCATCTAGGAAATCAGAACCTTGGGTTTGTGATGGGAGCGGGTATGGAGAGGATAGCTCAGTACACATTAGCCCTACACCTGTAAATCATTTTTTAAAAATCGTTCCATTTGGACTATTTTTTTCTAAATGATATTTGTAATGAAACAATGTGTTCTCACTAAATGCTCATATCTCTGCTTTTTATGACAATTTGATGTGTGAGTCCAGATCTTCATTTCAGGTTTTATTACTTTCCATTGTCAGGGAGGTAGGTACATTAGAGTACTCAGAAAGCCTGACATAGATTTGGGGCAAGTAGACAAAAATAGTCCTTCTTGGTGCACATACCCTGTGGGTCTCAAATATTTTAAGACAATGACCAAGGCTTTTGGTGTCAGATAATGTCTCTTAGATAGATCAGGATTTGTACAAAATTATTCAGTGCTGTGGAAAACAAGTTTTGTCTATGGTTTATCTGTTTTGTGCAAGTGTTCTGGAATTTGTTCCAGGAAGAGATGGTCAGGGTTCCAGATCTTCTCGCCTCTCTTAGAGTAGCTCCATTTTTTAAAAAATGTATTTCATTGGAACTCTGTATGTAAAAATACAAGACAAATTAAGGTAATGTGTCCAAAACCATTAAATTATTATTAACCCTGATTTTCATAATTCCTCAGTCCCTGCATGTTTTGCATCGCAGGGTGTAAGTGTAAGAAAGCAAATGACTGTATGGTGAGGCACTGTCCCTAAGAAAGCTGAGTTTTGGTTCTGTTTTCTGTTTCGGTGTACTGTCAAGTTCATGTTATTATTAATACCTACTCTTTTTTTTAAATCCTTATGGTGTTGCAGCTCTGGTTCTTGCTGTGCACAAGTGCTTTCACTATGTTAATGACTTCCAGAGCTGTTGTCACAAATAATGAAGTGGGGTGGGGGGGACACAAAAAACTTTGCATGTTAAGCAGCCTGTGTGAGAAGAGTTACAGGGAAAATGACTGTAGGAATCTGGAAGTCTACTTCTCACTGAGTAGACTTTCTTTGAGTCTTAGACCCATCTCCTTTAGAATTTTTGTCCTTTTTTCCTTCCACCTTCTTCATTTGTCAGTTTAAGTAGATTTATCTTGGGTATTTAAAAATATTCTGTGTATGTGTGTACATGTGTGTGTATGTACTGTATTTAGAAGAATATGCTAGTTACTAGTCCCGTGATATGGGAACCTGATGCTTTTCTAATTTGAGAAATAAATATAATGCTAGTTAGCCATTAAGGTAAATTAAGTGTTTAGAGTTAAGATAAGGCATTAAGAATAAAGTTATATAAAACATTTTGCCAACCTTAACTGAAAAATACCATCTAAAAACATGAAAAACATACATGAAAAAACAAAATGTATATTTAAAGTAATATATTTTTATATTAACCCTGAACTTTGGTGATTTATTCACCATTAAGCCTCCTGTCCAAACTTCCTGTTAACATCTCATCCTGCAGTCAGAAGTACACCGTTGAGTAGTTCTTATACAATCAAAGAGCAGTTTTTTGGCTTTAATGAGTTCTCCTCTTTCAAAGTGTCAAAATCAAGCTCTCCTTTAGACCTAGTATTATATGTCCATCCTTAGCAAGTATTCTTCTTTTATTCTGCAAATTGGAGGTTAGGGGTTAAAACGGGAAAGATGGTTTGATTTGAGATTTTAGCCTGGAAAGCCACACCAAAATGTTTGAATTTATTCATTAGGCATTGGAGTTCCATCGAATATTTTGATTCAGTTGATTGAAAATTGCAGATATTCTTTTTTTTTTTTTAGATATTCTGAACAAAATATTTTAGGAAGTTTGATTAATAGGTTGAAAAGTATAGGACTAAATTCATTGAGAAGTTGAAGGTGGACAGCATGGCAGCTTCCTCTGTAGTATTTTGAGAGGTGGAGACAGAACGGGAAAGGAGAGAATTAATGTGTATTTAACGTGGTTGCACTTTTCCCCTTGTTCTTTCATTCAGGATCCACTTGTGCGTTTATCTGAAGATGTGATAGCAAGAATTTGCAACATTTTTGCTATTATGTTTCGGTACACAGTAGAGATACTAACCTGGGAGAAAGAAAATGAATTGCCAGCAGATTTGGAGGTGGTGTAAGTGTAGCCCATTTAGTCTTTGTATAGGAGGACTGCTAAATTGTAACTCTCATACAGCAGTGATAGGACCTAAGTTGTTTGGTTTTGTTTTTTAAGGATTGGGTTTTAGGATAACAATGTTACAACTTTTTAATATGTGTGATCCACTTAACTGTTGAAAGTTTCTCCACATTTGTTGGTTAGTTGGCTTGTAGCCATATTTAAACTAAACTGGTTTCAGGCATAAACAGGTTTCTCTTTTCTGATTATATGAAAAACTGATAAGTGACTCTGCAGCTCTTTTTGTTTCCTTTATATGTCAGAATGAACTCTTTCTGAATAAATACTCAAAGTCATTTTTAACCATTTTGATTTTAATTATACAATATTTCATATTTTGTGCTTTTTTAGTGTACATGTGTCATTTTTATTTAGATTATTGTGGTCATAGACTTGTTACCAGAGAGCTGGATTCTGCCATGGTTTAGGGGAGGGCTTTGTTTTCCTTGTTAATGGACTTGCCCCAAATAACCTTCTCTTTTACTAGAAAATAAAGCCAAACTTGTTAGCATTATATTCTTTAAGATGAATTAAGACTCCAGTGAAAAATTGAAGGACATTGATAATGTTTCTTTTTGTTTATTCAGCATGTTCCAGATAATTGAGATTGTGGATGAAGTGATTTCCAATACAAGTTTTGAGGGATTCCTGAACTCTGCTTTTTTGGAAATGTTGAAAGTTACCTAATATCTCATAATTTTATCTTCATGAAATTCAAATTGGATTTCTTTAATTTAAAATCTGAGTTTAAAGCCTAGAAAAATATCTGGCTGTCTGGTAACAAGTTTGCAACCTCAATAGTTAAATAAAAATGGCAGGTGTATACTAAAAAAACACAGAAGAGAAATCTGACTTGCTTCCCTTCTAATGTTTCTACCTCAGTCTACCCAGAAACCTTGTGCCCATTGAAGTACGAAGTCTGGTGCTTCTCCCTTAGAGTTCTGCTTTTGCTCCTGTCCATATTTACGACACCTGGAGGCCACAGCCACTCTTGCCCTATACAGTTCATTCTCTGTACTAAGGCAAACGTGATCATATTTTCTGTTTCAGATCTTGCAAGATATTCACGATTTCTGCTCTCTCCAGAACAGACTGATCTCCTGTGTGTCTGCCCGTCCTTCCCTGTGCTCCAGCTCCCACCATCACCCCTACCACCTCTGTCCTTTTGCTTTTGCCTTCCCTTACCCCAGGGTTGCTCAACTTTGGCACCATTGGCATTCAGGGCCAGATGAATTATTTGTCCTGGGAACTGTCTGGTCAATTGCAGGATATTTAGCATCATTCCTCACCTCCACCTGCTAGGTGCCTGTAGCACCTCTGAGCCCCAAGATGACAAACAGAAATGTCTCCAGGCATTGTGGGATGGTCACCTGTGGGAGATGGAGGGAAGTTGCCTCAGTTGAGAGCCAGTGATGCTGAGTCTGACTTCAACTCTCAGATTATTTCTCCAGCAGTTCTTACCTAAACTCCAGACCTCGGATACCCGACTCTAGCATCCTGCTGTTTTTAATAAGAGCCAGTGCAGTTGGAGTTCTTTGTTCATATCTGTTTTCCCTACTAGGCTATAATTGTAATGTCATAGAGTGTAGAGACCCAGATGACTTCTTCACCAATCCCTAGTACATTCTATAGGCCAAAGTATTCTCTTAATAAAGTGAGCCTCCCCAATGATGAATGTCATCATACTGTATACCTAAAATGGACCAATAAACTTAATCTAAATAAATAAACAAATAAACAAAATGAGCCTGGAGCAAGATAATGGACAAATGGGTCACCCAATGTATCATTCATGTTTGATCCCACAGAGAGAAGAGTGACACTTACTATTGCATGTTGTTTAATGACGAGATTCACACCTATGAACAAGTTAGTTACACTCTTCAGAAAGCTGTGAACTGTACACAAAAGGAAGCCATTGGTTTTGCAACTACAGTAGATCGGGATGTAAGTAATTTCATCACGTTGCTATAATAAATTAAACTTTTGCTACAGATAAGTTAACCCCCAAAAATTGAGTTAAAGGTATGTATGTCTAGACCAGTGGTAGCGAACCTATGGCACACATGTGCTGCAGTGAGCTATTTGTATCGCTGAAAGCCCTAAAAGGTTTGCCATCCCTGGAGACTGTTCTTTTAAATTTCATTTGAATGTTGGCCCAAATATGTATTTGTATAATTGAAGCTATTAACAAATGAAAGTTTAAAATTCACTCTACTCCGTGATTAAAAATACTCATCTATAGAAAAGAAAATTATAGAAACCTAGTAGAATAATTGTTGTTTAGTTTGAAGAAATATACTTATGAATAGCTTTAGAGTTAAGATACTTTTGAAGAAAAATTTTAATTTACTTTTCATTGATGAGTAAGATGAGTGTTATAAATATTAGAAATTGATGAGCGTTGTTTCATGTTTAAGAGTTTATTTACCCTAATATTGAATGTGATATCTTTACAAGGTAACTTTAGGTATCTTTATTCTCAGGGACATAGGTCTGTTCGATATGGAGACTTCCAGTATTGTGAACAAGCAAAATCAGTGATTGTGGTAAGTAATTTTAAAACATGCTAATAAAACCATTTTATTAGCTTCAGGGTAGCTCCGTATTTCAACATTTATAAACGTGTTTTTATGCTTTCATTAATAAAAATCCAGTGTCAACTAAAAATTATGTTTTTTTAATTTTGGGGGGTTTTTTTTGTTTTTTGAAAGAGGTCTCACTATGTAGTTCAGGCTGGCCAGAACTTGCAATGATCCTCCTGCCTCAGCCTCCCAAGTGCTGGAATACAAGAGTGCCACCACACTCAGCTAAAAATTATGTTTTTAAAAATAATGTGTCTTGAGCATTGAGTTACTTTAGTTCTTTTAAGCTATGTAAGAATAATAGAAAATGAATATTTAGATAAAGATGTATTTTTTTATCATCCTATTTCCTTATCAGAGATGTCTCTGAAAAGCTTTCTGTTTTGTTTCTAATTAAGTTTTCACTCTACCATTTAGGAATTAAATTGGCCATTAGCACCAAGATTAGAGTCCAAGGAAAGATGTTTCTTGGTACATTATAGCAAGATATACTCTATTCTAACAGCGTATTATTTTTATGGGTTTTTTTTGGGGGGGGTACCGTGGATTGAACTCAGGTTCTTGCGCTTGCGAGGCAGGTGGCAGAACCACTGAGCTAAATCCTTGGCCCTAATGTATTATTTTTCTAAAAGAAAACAATTTCTCACTTTTAGATTTATTTTTAAAAGTTTTTAAACTATACCCTATAAGTTGCATTTTATATAATTTTTCTTTTTAAAACTAATTTTACATATTATAAAATAATTTTAAATACACTGACAATAATAAAAATAACATGAACACCTATGGGCCCACATTGTATCTTATTTTTGTCCCACTCATTTTATTTTTTAAATTTTATTTATTTATTTTTTTGGTACCGGGGATGGAACTCGGGTCCTTGCACTTGCGAGGCAGCTGCTGGAGCCACTGAGCTAAATCCCGGCCCTTGTCCCACTCATTTTAAATAAATAAACAAATATAAATGCATGCCTTTATATTTCGTATGTTAAATGCTACCAACATAGAACTGATGTGGAGGTCTTTAAGCATCGTAGAAAGCCAAGCAGGGGAGTACACTCCTGAAGCACCCTCACAGGCTGAGGCAGGAAGAGCACAGATTCACCCCTAACCTGGGATACTTAGTGACTTACTTGAGACCCTGTCTCAAAATAAAAAAAATAAGGGTTAGGGACGTTAACTTTTTGTATGAATCCTGTGATTCCACCTAGAAAATTAGAATCTGGATCAAATAAGACAAAGTAGTGTTTTTCTTAACACACATACACAAAATACTCCTGTGATGATATGGTGTTAACTTCTTATGTGGTATTAACTTTTTGTGCCAATAAAATAGCCTTTTTAAGTTACTTTTTTCATTTTGTCATTTCTTTTTAGGAGAAATACCAGTAGACAGACAAAGCCACTCAAAGTTCAAGTTATGCATTCATCTCTTGTTGCAGATCAGAATTTTGGTTTGAAGCTTTTGTCTTGGCTGGGAAGTATCATTGGATACTCAGGTAGGTTCATCACTAACTGTTAAGAGAACTCTTAGGCCCTTGGAAAACTGTTTCTGGCAAAAATAGCAAGTGGAGCCAGGGATGTAGCTCCGTGGTGCCGCTGCATGCCTTATAAGCACAAGGCCCTGAGTTCGATCTCCGGTACCAAAAAAAAGAAAAAATCAAGTGGAATATCTTCCTTTAATTTCACATGTTAAAATAATATCCCAGAATATCTTTCTGTACAGAATATCTTTATTTACCTTATTTTGACCCACAGAATTTTTAATAAGCACCCAAAGGATTCTGTGTTCAAATAATGCAGGGAACATTGGGTTAAACACTTATAAACAACTTTAATATGCTAATACAATATACATTTCAATAACTTAATAAAAGAATTTTTTAAAGCCAGGTGTGGTGGCACATGACCATAATCCAAGCACTGAGGTAGCTGAAGCAGGAGGATCACCACAGGTTGAGGCCAGCCTTGGCTCCAGAGTGAGTTCAAGGCCAGCCTGAACCACGAAGCAAGACCCTGTCTCAAAAAAATTTAAAAAGATTTTTTTAAATGGTGCATCCTGTGGACCTTTTCACAAAGTGTGCTAGAAAAAGCTATTGTAAATAAAACAATGATAATCAGTTGGAATGATAAAATACTAATGTTGATGGCTTTGATTCCTCTTACTTTTGGTGACCAATAATTTGCAACTCTGAAAATTTGCAGATTGGAAGTTATTGATGTATATTTGTTTGTTTGCTTGCTTGCTTTTCCACAGTCTGGAAATAAGATAATTTATAATACAATGGTAGTATAATTATGAACTCTTTGTCCAGAATTAAAAAATACACATTTGATGTATAACACTAAAGGGTAAATTAGGAGTAGCGCTAAGCTATCTTGTCATACTGTTCTTCGGGGAAGCCTATAGAGAACTGATAATTCCAATGTTATTATAAAGACTATTTCTAAAATATTTGTATCAAAGGCTGTTAGAATGAGCAATGCAGTACTGAACTGAAAATAAGAAAGTGTGGAAGTTTAGGATAACATATTTGCTTGCTGTTCAAATATCTTTCAGAGTTTTTTTTAGCTCCACATTCTTTAGTTTTGGTTTTCCCCATTGAGTGCCTTTATGCCAACTACTGTTCTATAGTGTTAATGGATAGTAACCATGAAAGTAATTTTCTGCTGAATGTTTTCCTAGAGATGTTTATTTTCAGTAATTTAAATATGTATATAAAGTTTTCAGCCTTTAAAATGATTTCTGATAGCTTTTAGAATTAAATTCAAAAGTGACTCCAGGGCTGGGGATCTTGCTCTGTGGCAGAGTACTTGCCTAGCACAAGGCCCAGGGTTCTAGCCTCAGTACCACCTCCCCACCCCCACCCCCCAAAGAAAGTAAATTAATCCATTTTGTAATTATTTTGCAAGTTTTAAGAAGACTAAAAATAGCAATTTAAATTGTAAAGTATGGATCAAAAAGATGTTAACATTTTGGTTATTTAATGTTGATATTTGAAGTTTTCTAAACTGTAGCATGTAGAGGATAGAGGAATTTGTCTTCCAGGCCCTCTCTCATAGCAGATTTACAGTGATTCTTTTGTTTAATAAGTGAATAACATTTTGCATAGCATTAGTGAAGTATACTGGTGTATCTTATAGTACATGCATCGTGAATGCTTTCTTTTAAATGGTAACACAATTTTATATTATACCAAACTTCAGTTATCATAAAGCATATAAAAGCTTTACTATAAGCTGATTTAATTAGCATAAGCACTTAAAAACATTATTTATTTCAGTATTTTGGGGATGTTTTTCTCTTTAAACTCATCGGAACATGAGAGGGCATTTCTTTTCTGATAGGCATTTATTTCAACATTCTGGATTAAGAATTGTGTGTAACCACACCTGCCTTACAAGTGCAAGGTCCTGAGTTCAATCTCTTCCCCCCCCAAAAAAAAGAAGAATTGTGTGTAATATGAGATCTTGAATTTTTCTCCTTTCTTCCAACATAGTAATAAAATACTTAGTGTATTAACCTTTGCTGAGTAAATTTGACCTTTAAACTCATCGTGCAAGATGGCACATGCCTATAATCCCAGCTGCTCAAGAGGCTGAGGCAGGAGAATCCCAAGTTCATGGCTAGCCCGCGCAATTTAGCAAGGCTCCTCTCAAAGCAAATATGTTTAAAAGGGTCTGGGGTGTAGCTCAGGAGGAGAACTGCTTGCCCAGCACCCATGAGCCCAGCTTGGGATCCCCAGCACCAAAGACAGACAGAATCCCTTGAAAAACTCTAGATGCATTTGGACATAAACTAAATGTCACTTTATTTTAATATTTGAAGTTGCTACCTCATGACTACTCTTCTTCCTGTTTAAAGATGGCCTTCGTCGGATTTTGTGTCAAGTTGGATTACAAGAAGGGCCAGATGGTGAAAACTCTTCTCTGGTGGATAGATTGTTGCTTAGTGTTTCTAAATTATGGAAAGGCAAATCCCTTAACTTTTTTTAAGGGTTGGCATATTAAAGCTTTTTTCATTTGGGAAGATATTTAACAATATATTTATGGTTTTTAAAATTAGCATTGCAAGGCTAAAGATAGAGCTCAGTGGTCAAATGTGTGCTTAACATCTGTGAGGCCCTAGATTCACTCCCCAGCACCAAAAAAAAACCAAACGAAAGAAGCATTATAATCAGTCTTTGAAAATACAGATTTTTTTTTAGCTTATGACTCAAGTTAAGCAGCCATTAAATTTTGATAGAAAATTATATTTAGAAAACCTGAGTTAATAAATAACCAGATTACAGATATTTTTATGCTAAGGAAAACATATAGTTTAACTCTTTTTTTTACAGTTTTACTCTTGAGGTTTTAAAATATAGTTGATCACATAGAAACGTTGGAAATACAGTTTTTGACGTAGCCTTAGTGTAACACCCTGATCTTTTTCTAAAGGTTCCAGGAGTGTATATCATCAGTTGTTCATGAGCAGCCTCCTTATGGACTTGAAATACAAGAAACTATTTGCTGTCCGATTTGCAAAAGTACGTGTTTTCTCAGTTTTAAAGATCAACAAAATAACTATATCCCATGATTATAACCAGACTCTAGAAAATTAGCACCTAGTAGAAACATGTCAGTGTATCAGTAGGTTAAATATACAGCAGGGAAATTTCTTATTCCTTTCCTCCCGTGATACCATAAATATCCATCTTTGCAGGGTTTATGGTGTAAAATGATAAGTGAAGAATTAAGCCATTGTGTATTATGTCATTGGTCCTATTACAGTTCGTGCAAGGAAACAATCTTAGGTGACACAACATACATACATGGATATGGTTTAAGAACTCTGGGTAGTTGATACATTTAGAATTAAGTTCTCCTTTTCAGCAGCATATGATTAAAGTAGCTGCTTTTTTTTTTTAATGAATTCAGAGTTCTTAAGGCAATGCATAAGAATCATTTAGAGAGCTCTTTTAGGACTCATGTGCTTGTCCTCCATTCCCACCTCTGCTGAGCGGGATCTAAGTGCATGTGCTCTGCAGGCATCTCTCATGCATCCGAAAGTGTGGCGGTCTGGTTTCATGAGAGACTGTGGAGTGTAGCTCTGGTCAGCCCCCGATGCACAGTGGCACCCAGGTCCTGAGTTGCGACTGCTACCCATTTGGGCTGGTGACGTGCCACTGTGCTCTGGAAGAGCCATACCAACAACAGGACTCCACAGACCCCATTGTGGAGCAGTATTTACATGGAGTTTCTTTTCCTTAGTAGAAATCATTCCAGCTACAATTCTCAGGGTTAGCCTATTGATTTCTTCAGATTCAGGCTCCATGGGTAAGAGGTGGATCTCCCCCTTGTCTAGAATTACCAGCAGCTGCAGAGAGATTTTATGGATGATGATCACGAGCGAGCAGTGTTGGTGATTGCTCTGTCTGTCCAGCTCTTCGCTGCACCAACGCTGGTGAGTAGTGCTTCCCTCTCCTCTGTCACTCATAGCTGGCACTCCTTGCCTCTTTTTGCCTTCTTAATAGAACTATGAGCATTTGCAGAGTGATTATGTGACAGATGACCACGACAGAGAGTTTTCGGTCACAGACCTCTCTCCTCAGATATTCACAATTCCTTCACTTTCAAGTACTGAAAGACTAGAAGAACTTTCTTGTTTTCTCTTGACAGGAGTAAGCCTTAAAATAAGAGAACTAAGATCTATATACTCCTGAATAGAGTAATAACTTATTAATAGGCAATCAGTTTCAGACACCTTCAACCATACTAGGACACATCCTTGAACCTCTAAGTAATTATGGGGCAAGAGTCATTTAAACTCAATCTGTAGTTTCTGATTGTTCTTTCTGGAGCTTTGAACTGAAGAATAACATTCAATCCATCGGTTCATCAACTTTACCCTTGACATTAGCAGCATTTGTAAACCATTTCATAGTCTGAGACATCTTCCTCCTCGCCACCCCACAGAAGGAGAGGGGTGGCCTCAGCAATGGACTCACAATGACTGGGTGGCCTTTCACAAGCTTCACTGAGTCTCTGAAGCCTTCAGGATGTTTTAGCGCATACAGTAACTGAGAGCCATTTATTTCATCAACATATTGATTGAGCACCTGTTACTTATTGGGTAGACAAAACAGATGTAATCCTCACTCTACTATAGTAGGAAAGACTTGCAGAAGCAGTTAATTAAAGCTGTAATGATAGTTCTGAGGAATGAGGTTTCCTTGAGAGAGAATCCTTTTCCTACAGTTGAGAGACGGGTTCTCCAGAGCCTTTATGGGGGATTGGGGAGGGTCCATGAGACACCCTAGGGAAGGGGACCTGAGAAGTCTTCAGTTAGGGAGGAGCGCCACCCATGTGGGAAACAGGAAAGCCACTGCATGTGAAGATCCTTGAATGTGGCACAAAACTGCATGGGCTGAAGTGTTTTAGGGTTAATTTACCAACAAGGCTTATTTTCCGGTTTTGTTTTGCTTTTCAAATTACTTTTTCACACCTCTAATCCCAACATTCTAGGAGGCTGATGCAGAAGAATTTCAAGTTCAAGCCCAACTTGGGCAACTTAGTGACTGCGCTAGGCCCTGTCTCAGAAAATGAAAAAAGAGCTGGGATATAGCTCAGTGCAAAGTTCTTGGGTTTAATCTCCAGTACCAGGAAAAAAGAAAAGCTTTTTCCCCATATTTCGTTTATGTTAAAGGATCTAATCTAGTAATTTGTCCATTTTTAATGCTATTGTTGTAGGCCAAATTAGGGAATTTTGTTTTTATCTTATGATTATATCAGGTTATTGAAGAATGTAAGCAACACTTAGAAATCAACCCATTTGTGCTTTTTAAAACATTGTGCCATTTGTACTTTGGGAAAGAAATTGGAGAGAGGTAAAAGCAAATTGAGGAACCTATTTAAAAGCTAATGCAGTGATGCAGATATGAAGGGGTGGTAACTTGAACTGGGGCCTGACAGTGGATATAAGAGTTTTAAGAGGTATTTTTAGGTGGGTAAAAACTACAGAACTGGCCAGGTGGATTTGAAGGGAGGTTGGGTTTGGTGACTGACTCTGTTCTAGGACTGAAGGAGAAGCATAAGATAACTATGAAGTTTTCGACTTACAACTAGAGTCTCAGATGTGTTGACTGTGGCTTTCTATTTTCCTCTGATGCAGTTACTGCTCCAGAGGACTCAATGCTGAGTCCGTGGGGGCCTCTGACACTGTCTTGTCATCTGTGGGTGGAATCTGCCTTGCATCGGTCAGCCTGACCATGGGCTTCACAGATGCCTCTGAACCCTAGGGTTGCCGAAATTCAGACAGGGAAGTTTAGAATTCTTATGCTTAAAGAAAATGCTTTAATAAGCAGTTAGCCTCTCAAGTAGGACAAGGTATCAAGAAATAATTATCCTTTTCCAAAGGAATTATAGGCACTGCTCCACTCCCAACTGAGGGGCATTCGGGAAATGATCCTGGGTGAAGGGAGGACAGAGTGTGGGCTGAGTGTCAATAAGGTCCTGCCTCTCTGTGATGTTACAGTGCTTTCTGGCAGTTCTGCTACTGTATTAATATCCTAGACAAGATCAGTAAAGTAAATGGGAGCAGCCAGAGTGAGAAGGAGCAGAAACACACACATTAGATCCAGGGAACATCAGTAATATTGTGTTGTTGAAAATTGGCTTACGGGCCTGGGGATTTAGTTCAGTGGTTCTGCCACCTGCCTCACAAACACAAGGTCCTGAGTTCGATACCTGGTACCACCCCCAACAAATTGGCTTGGTTCTGCCTTCAGTTGTCTCTTAGAGATTAGTTAATATTATTAGAAAATGGTTAGCAGCCATTGGTACACCCAGTAATTTAAATACAGAAGAGGGCCAGAGATTTAGCTCAGTGGTTCCGCTGCCTGCCTCGCAAGCACAAGGTCCTGAGTTCGATCCCCGGTACCCCCCAAAATAAAATAAAAAATAAATAAATACAGAAGATAGTTAATAAGAACCCCAGTAAGGCTGGGCCTGGTCGCACACACCTATAATCCCAGCACTCAGGAGGCTGAGGCAGGAGGATCACTGTGAGTTGGAGGCCAGCCTGGGCTACATACATAGCGAGTTTGAGGCCAGCCCAAACTACATAGCAAGATACTATCTAAAAAAAACCCAAAAAACAGAAACACAAAGAACTCCAGTAAGTGATCCTGAAGAATTGATTCTGTGCATTCATTTAGTGCCTTACACTGTGGATCTTTTTTTTTTTGGTAGCGGGGATCAAACTCGGGTCCTTGCATTTGCGCAACAGGCACTGGAACCACTGAGCTAAATCCCCAGCCCTT